CCCCCCCCCGGGAAACTGGTCGGTGTCAGAGTTGCTTTGTTTTCTAAGCCAGCCGGCTTCCACATCCTTGTTATTTTCACAAGGTCTTGGACCCGGAAATAAAATATGTCCTTCTCATCTTCCTGGAGTCATTTCTGCCTCTTCCCTTTGGGGCCTGTCGGAGGGCGGGTGAGTTGGCAGGAAGAGCCCTGCCTGGTGGCCACGGAGGCCCCTCTGCCCTGGCAGACCTGCCACCCTCTCTGCCCTCGTGGCGGTCCACAGCGATGGGGAGTGTTGTGGCAGGAGTTACCTGGGCCTGGATCGCCAGCAACGCATCCTGTGCCCCCCTCCAGATGTTGCAGCACAAGCCGAGCAAGAGTGATTCACACATGGAATTCACTGCCGCAGGAGGTGGTGGCAGCTACAAGAACCTTCTCCGGCTCCTTCGTGGCTGACCTTCCCAGTCTCCGGCTCCTTCTGATTACTTGGTTGCCGTCTCCCGTTTGGTTGATGCTGGAGCCGAGGGATAGGAAATCTTTTGACCTCTGTTAAAAGGACAGGACCTTTACCTCCAGGCCTGTTGGCAACCCTGAAAGTGGGGAGAGCCAGTCTGGTGTAGTGGTTAAGTGCGCGGACTCTAATCTGGGAGAACCAGGTTTGAGTCCCCACTCCTCCACGTGCAGCTGCTAGCCTGACCTTGGGTCAGCCACAAGTTCTCTCAGAGCTGTTCTCTCAAGGGCAGTTCTCTCAGAGCTCTCTCAGCCCCACCTCCCTCACAGGGTGTCTGTGGTGGGGAGGGGTGGGGGTGTCTGTTGTGGGGTGGGGAGGGGAGAGGAGGGGAAAGGGATTGTAAATCACACTGAGACTCCTTTGGGTAGTGAAGGGCGGGGTAGAAATCCAATCTCTTCTCCTCTTCTTGGGCAGAGCCAGTTTGGTGTCGTGGTGAAGTACGCGGACTCTAATCTGGGAGAACTGGGTTTGATTCCCCACTCCTCCTCTTGCACCTGGCTGGATGGCCTTGGGCAAGCCTTAGCTCTGGTCAGAGCTGTCCTTGAAAAAGAGCAGTTTCTGTCAGAGCTCTCTCAGCCCCACCTGCCTCCCAGGGTGTCTGTCTGTTGTGGGGAGGGGAACGGAGAGGAGTTTGTAAGCCACTCTGAGACTCCTTCTTCTTCTTCTTGGTGTGTGCTGGCGATGGGTAGGCACAGGCCCGTAGGGGGGATTTTTTAAGTCGGGGGGCATTTAAACTTCTTAGGGGGCACTGCCTAATCGCTACCCGGTTCCTTCCCCGCACCTGCCGCTGCTCAGGGGCCCTGGGCTGGATGGGAAGTGGTGGGGCCTTGCCAGTAAGTCGGGGGGGGGGCTAGCCCAGAGATGCCCCCTGTAGCCACGGGCCTGGGTAGGCAGCCTCCATGAGAAGGGGACCAGGTGTCCGGCCCTAGAGAAGAGTGGGGCGTCTGCTGGGGGTGAGGAGGAGGAGGCGCTTCCAGGCGGGCTCATGAGCTCCGGCTCTAGAGCCATGTTCTGGGAAGCCCAGTGGGTCTCGACCCTCCCCAGCCTGAGAGCAGCTGCCATCCACTTAGGTCTCCTCCCCACTGCTGGAATGGGGCAGACCACTTGGGGGTCATGAAGGGGAGGCATGTGCCCCCCTCCAGATGTTGCAGCACAAGCCGAGCAAGAGTGATTCACACATGGAATTCACTGCCGCAGGAGGTGGTGGTGGCAGCTACAAGCAGGGACAACGGCTTGGTTTATTTATTATTTACTTATTTATTCTATCCCCACCCTTCCACATGGGCTCAGGGCGGCTAACAAGAGGCGAATGCCAGACATAAAACCATCAAATTACATTTTACGTTCAAAATTGGTGCTCACAACAATATATCATCCAAGACGGGGACTCCAATGCAATGTTTCAGAGGGCACTACTGTCTCTTCTTGACTGGTCTTCACCATGTCCGTTCTCCATTCCCAAGGCCAGTTCGCATCGCCAGAGATGGCAACGCGGTGGTGGTACAGTGACGGTGGCGGCTCCTACTCGAAAGCCTGGTGGAAGAGCTCCGTCTTGCAGGCCCTGCGGAACTGCATAAGGTCCCGCAGGGTCCTGATCTGCTCCGGGAGCTCGTTCCACCAGATAGGAGCCGCCACCGAAAAAGCCCTGGCCCTAGTAGCCGCATATTTAACATCTCTCTTGGCTGGAACGACCAGCAGATGTTTTGCCCCCGACCGTAGTACCCTTGGGGGAACATATGGGGAAAGGCGGTCCCTTAGGTAAGCTGGACCCTGGCGGCTTCAAGAGGCAATTGGATAAGCATATGGAGCAGAGGTCCATCGGTGGCTCTTAGCCACAAGGTATAGACAGGAACTCTCGGTCTGTGGCAAGTGATGCTCTGTCTTCTTGATGCTTGGGGGGGGGGGTCAACAGTGGGAGGGCTCCTAGTGTCCTGGCCCCACTGCTGGACCTCCTGAGGGCCCCTGGTATTTTGGGGCACGGAGTGACACAGAACAGTGTTGGACTGGAGGGGCCACTGGCCTGACCCAACACTGTCTTCTCTTAAGTTCTTATAAGAGGGAACTGGATAAACATATGGAGCAGAGGTCCACCAGTGGCTCTTAGCCACAAGGTAGAGAGAGGAACTCTTGGTCTGGGGCAAGTGATGTTCCGTCTTCTTGGTGCTTGAGGGGGGGTGAGAGTGGGAGGGGCTTCTGCTGTCCCAGCCCCACTGCTGGACCTCCTGAGGGCACCTGGTATTTCTGGCCACCGTGTGACACAGAGTGTTGGACTGGAGGGGCCACTGGCCTGATCCAACACTGGCTTCTCTAAAAAGACCTCTCCCTGCCTGGGAGCGGTTCCTTTGGATCAGGAGGAGGCCGGGAGGTGAGCAGGTCCTGCCCTTTGAGTCCTGGGAAGCGGGGGGGGGGAGGCAGAGCCCGGCCACCTCCAGGCAGAGGAGAGTCCCCTCGCAGAGAGCCAGCTGTTGCGATGGGCCTGGGCGCAGGAGCAGACAGACAGATCAGAGCTGTGTGGCTTTACTGCGAATGTTTGAATTAGCATGTTGACCTCAAGAGATGCTGAATACTTCGCAATTCACCTATTTTTGTAATGCATATAATTTATAATTTACAATTCATAATCTGAAATTCATGAGTTCGTACTTTGCAATTCCCATTGACTTGGACGGGCTGGCTGCCCTCTGAGGATCCTCCTTGCTGGTCCTGGGGAAGGAGCCGCTCCCCCCACCCCCCCGCAGCCCCCCTGGTGTCTGCCGGAGCCCCATGAATCTGTGAGGCCTCTGGACCGGGGGGGCCGCTCTGCAGCACCGGCATCAGCGCAAGAAGGCTGGCCCCCTCTGTCATCCCCCAGAGGGCCCCGGGGCCGGAACCAGCGGAGGGCTTCCTCTCCCCCGACCTCGTCTGCCGTGGCCTCCCTGCTCGGCCCCCGCCCTAGACGGCCTGGGTCGGCGCGATCTCTTCAGGCCTCAGAAACTAAGCCGGACCAGCCCTGGCGACTACTCGGATAGGAGACCCACAAGGCCGTTCAGGGCTGCTTCGCGGAGCAAGGCAATGGCCAACCACCTCCGCTTGACTCCTCGTGACCTGGACAGCCGAGGCTAGCCTGACCTCACCAGGTCTCAGGAGCGGATGGGCGGGCCGGGGGGGGGGGCTGGGGCGGGCCGGTTATCACTTGGAGGGGAGACCACCAAGGACGTCCAGGGCTGCTTCGCAGAGGCCATCAATGGCAAACCCACCTCTGCTCTTCTCGTGTCTTGAAAAACCACCCGAGGGGACTCGCAAGTCAGCTGCGGCTTGATGGCACACGCACACCTGGCTTGGTGCTGGAGCACCTTCTCTGCATGCTCCGGGAACTGGTGACATGAATGGCCG